CAAGTTGCTGGGACCACAGGCGCCCACCACAACGCCTGGCTATTTTTTTTTCCGTTGCAGCCATCATTGTTGTTTGGCAGGCCTGGGCAGAATTCAAACCTGCCACCTTAGGTGTATGTGGCTGGTACCTTAGCCACTTGAGCCACAGGCGCTGAGCCTAGAATTCTGTTCTTATGAAAATTCTATTTCAACTTGTGTTTTTAGGAGGGGGTCATAATAATTACCTCTTTTTGTAATTAATAACATGCACTGAAACAGCCTCTTACGCTGCCTTAACTGACAAAAACACTAAAATGTTGGAGGATTTGGTAAACTAAGATCTTCAAAAATCTGTGCTTGTCATAATTTTTTCATATAAAATGAAATTGTATTTTATCCATTAATTTAGCTTATATAAAGTTCTTATAAGTGAAATATAAAATTTTTTTAAGTAAAACATTAATATATTGCTGTAAATATTAAAACTCTATTAAATATTTGGATTATAGAGCAAAAAGCTGTCTTTCATCAGGCCTGCCTTCTTATTTTTCTTCCTTGTAGTTTTGGCCGGGGCTGGGCTTGAACCTGCCACCCCTGGTATATGGGGCTGGCGCCCTGCTCCTTGAGCTACAGGCACTGCCCCATGGCCCTCCTTCTTTTGACCCTAGAAGTGCCCACCATGTGCTGTTAAAGGTGGTGTAAATAGAGACTAAAAGTTGAGTCAGGAGCAGACTGCTCTGGTGGGAGTCCCAAAGCTGCCACTTTTTACCAGTTTTGTGACTTTGGCAAGCCTCTGTCCCTCAGTTTGTCTGTAATAGTGTTCCCACCTCATAGCATTGGTCTGAGTATTAAATTGCTTAAACTACTTAAAGAACATATGGTGTTTGACACATAAAGACTGCTGTGTAAATTTTAACTATTATTGTCATTATCAAATTGTCACGTCAGCACCATCATCATACAATTGATTTGTCCTTCCAGGTCTTTTTGCTATGCATTTGCAGTCATCTCTATGAATATTAGAGCTACTGGGACCCAGTCTCTATGAATATGTAGAAATTGACGGTGCATTGAATTCTCTATTTGGCTAAATGCAGAATAGGCTGAATGTTAAAATAAGAATTTGATCGAAGCTGATATTATCATGCATCCTCTGGAAATAAGAGTGAAACTTCTTGCTGGATGCTGTGGCTCATTCCTGTAATCCTAGCACTCTGGGAGGCTGATACAGGTGGATTGCCTGAGCTCACAAGTTCGAGACCAGTCTGAACCATAGCAAGACCCCATCTGTAGAAATAGCCAGGCACTGTGGCAGATGCCTATTGTCCCAGCTACTTGGGAGGCTGAGGCTAGAGAATCACATGAGCCCAAGAGTTTGAGGTTGCTATGAGCTGTGACACCGGCACTCTACTGAGGGTAACAAAGTAAGACTCTGTCTTCAAAAAAAATAGAAACTTTTATTAGGCCTTTCATCTCTCAATGAAATTTTATTGAAAGTAAAAAAATTCTTCTTTTATTATTGAACATTTTTAGTAATAAAATTAAAAAATTTTGTCATTGAGTTTTAACAAATTTGGCATTATAGTGCTAAAATTATACTTAGCAATATTAGCTACTACATTGCTCCTGCCATTTGCCTTGGTAAGTTGCTACTTTTTTATAAAAATTATTTCTTGCTTATTTTTTATTTCTTTGGTTTTTGTTGTTATTGTTGTTGTGGAGACAGAGTCCCACTTTATGCCCTGAGCACAGTGCAATGGCATCATAGCTCACTGCAACCTCAGACTCAGGCTGTGGGCATCCCACTGCCTCTGGAAGCTGCTGGGATTACAGGTGCTCACCCCAGTGCTTGGCTGGGTTTTTCATTTTTTTATGAGTTGGTGTCTCACTCTTGCTCAGGCAAGTCAGTAAGTTGTTACTTTCAAATGACTTGAGAGTTAGATGAAATTGGCTTTCAACTTGGTGGATTTAGGGGAGCAGATTAATGCTGTCTTCTTCATATTTTTAGTTTTTTTTTTTTTTCTGAGACAGAGTCTTATTCTGTTGCCCAGACTAGAATGCCTTAGCATCAACATAGCTCACAGCAACCTCAAATTCTTTTTATTTTTTAATTTTTTTTTTTGGAAATGGAGTCTTAGTTGCCCTTGGTAGAGTGCCATGGTGTCACA